AAGTGCTAGTTAATTACCTTGAATTCCTGGCCTCCAAGCCCATCAGGACTAATCAAGGCCCATGCCCCTTCCGGAGCAGCAGAGGATGGCTGTGCCATGCTGTATTTATCTAAGAACACTGCAAATCGGTGTGGCTTCCCCAGTGCAGTTCCAGCTACAAGTAAACATTTCCAGACACAATCAGAATAAGCCTTAGAAAGGGACCTGCAAAACGTCCCTCTGTTACCTACCCAGTGGATCATTGCAAATACCCCTCTTGGCCAATAAATGGTGAAGCACACCTATGGGGCAGGAATGAAAACTCACAAGTTTCCCACGGAGCTCAGAAGGGAGTGTGCATGTTCCTGCTGTGCAAGGCATTTCACAAACCTGGAGTTGTCTTTCTGTGCATGCAGAGGAACAAATCCTCAGATCATGTAAAGTGTCCCCAGCTCCACAGTGGAGTTATGACAATTTATACCAGCTGAGGACCTGCTCAGCGTTTTTCGTTATGGGCCTTATTTACTCCTGGCTAGTAAGAGTTCCTCTGGAGCTGTTACGACAGTATGTGGGGCATAAATCTTGCTTTAGATGCCTTTGGAGCAGGTAGGAGATAGCATTCTTGCCTATAAAGTGGAGACATTCTTAAGCATATGCCTGGCATAACCTTATAATGGGATGGGGTCTTAGCAATCTGCAATATAGCTGTTTTTACCAAAATGAAGATCTGGAAATAGAAATAAATAATATCCACTTAGAAGTTGTCGCACAAGGTAACTGGATAATGAAAAATCACTTTTTGCTTTTGCATAGTGCATTTCATTGATGTCTACATCTTTAAGCACTTAAGTCCCTGAAAAAGCCTGGCTCCTCATCTACCCAAGAGTGTTGTACTGACATAATTATTTTTTCTTCTAGAAATTGCCTGCTTCTAGTCAGGCAATGGTATCAGTCACACTTTTATTGAAGTAAGTTTCTTAAACAGCTAGTTGAATAAGTCTCATGTAGATAAGGCCTAAGATGCTGTCACAGAATGACAGTTCTTGCTTATTGCAGTAAAATAGGGTCAGTGTAACTAAGACTTTAGTCCTATGTTTGCACTGGTAAACACAGCTACTTTTTGTGTATTCACAGAGTTGACGGACATCTCCCTTTGCTGGGTCCCAGCTCACTGCAGAGGTTGCATGGTGTTTGCATGGCCAGGCCATACAAACATGGCAGGATCTCTCTCTCCAGAGCACCAGGAGTGGTATTGGCATAAATTGCCAAACTTTCCTGTTTTTTTTTTTTTTTAAACCTCCTTGAGATAGCATGTCCAAAGCCAGCAGTGGGTTGAAGGGAAGAAACACTGCGTCGCCTGAGGCCTAGTCTGTTGTCCGCTCCTCAGGATGGGCTAGTTCGGCTAAGTGCAGTGTGACACTTAAATGTGTTTTCTGCACTTGGTATGTGAATTGCAAGGGATACAGAACTGTACTTTAGAATTTCTAGGTAACGTCATGTGGAAAAGGTAGGTCCCAGTGAAAAAATATTTCCCTAGCAATTTTTAGCTTGAAAAACGCTAAGTTACAGTACAACTCCCCAAAACTGTTCTTGCAAGTCATTTATACTGTTACACATAAAATTACAGCAAGCCTCCAATAGTATTGTGGCTACTTTTGTAGTCAGTTTTGAAGAATGTGCTCCATCAGTCGAAATACTTTGATTTAAGTTCACTTTGAGGCACAGTCTAAAAGTTATACTTTAAATTACACTGTAAAATAAGTCCCATGGTACATCCGTACAATATATATGGCATACTGACTCTGTGTAATTAAATTCTTGTCTAAAGCTGTCATTAAGTTGCAGTAAATATTGAAGCTAGCTTCATTTTTAAATTAGATTTACTTCTTGATTTTAGCTGATAAATATTCTCCTTGTATAGAAAATTAATTAAAATATGCATGCATATATAATATATATATAACAGGGCTTAGGTAGTGATTTCAGCTGTTCAGAGCAAGCAGACTGACAGCTTTAGAGACTAGTGGGCTGTATCAACAGCGAGAGCTTGCTGGCTGATAACAATGTGGAGAACAGCACAAGGTCCGTTCCAAGGCCTGTTAAAACATCCCTGCCTCCTCTGTTGGGAGAACTCCTCTCAGGACTGAAAGTCCTCCCGCTCAGGCCGGTGTGCTGGTGCCTGTGCTTGCTTGGGCTGTCAGGCCTGCCCCGGCAACGCTTACACCGGAGACAGTGCCCTGGTTTGGCCTATGCCAACAAGCAGCCCAGGAGCTATTTTCAAGGCAGTGAAATAGGTTGGGGGTTAATGCAGTTTTCCTCCGGAAATCTCCAGTTACTTTTTATGGGAACGCTGTTTTGGGTTCATCTGCATTCCTTCTGGGTTCCCGCCGCACAAACAGAGCAGTCCCAGTGTTATTAGCACAGATGCAAACAGAAATTAAGTTTTTAACCCCAAGAGTAAATATGTGAGAAATCAGTGACTTTCCAGGTGCTATCCTTGAGTGGTGACAGTGGAAACAGGCACTGTTTGGAGGAGCAGGGAAGAGGAACTGGGGGTTTGTCCTGCCACGAGCAGCGCAGCAGGGATGGTGCAGGTTCCCCTGGCAGGTGATGAAGGGGGGGGTGCAGCCGCTCAAAGCCCCAGGCCCGCTCCCACCTCCTCTCATTCCTAGGTCAGAAATAACATCAAATAACTACTTATTACTTAGTGAACCCCAAGACTTACTATGAAACACAAACATGAGGCAGGTTGGGAGGGTGAAGGTGATCTTTTTTGCATATGCTCAGGCCATCATGGCTACAACACCACTATTAAAAGAAATGAACGGGAAAATTTCACTGAGTAGATTGGGGGAGAGAAGGGTCAACTATTTAGCAAATCTAAAAAATAATGGTGTTTTTCAGAAGTTTCCTGAGAGTGAGTGGGAAGATGGAGAAGAAAGTCTCCAGAAAATCCCCATATCTCAAGAAAGGCTGAAGTGTGCGTTCATTCTTCTGAGACACAGCGAGTCTATGCTGGAGATGCTCTATAAACGACTCAGCCAAAGAACCCGCAGTTGGAACTTTTGCATCTTTTAGAAACGAAATTAATCAGCGTGTAGGAAATTAGGGTACGTTCAGTGCTCACAAAGCTACTTGTGTTTTTCTGGAAGACAGGCAAATTGCTGGGATGACAAGTACGTCGGATATGTCTTTCAAAAGTCCCTCTCATCCTTTTGTGAGTGCTTGAATCTCTCAGTTTCCCAAATGTATGTTTGTTTGACATTTGTATAACTAACAGGTGTTTTATGTAGTTTCGCTGCTGCTTCATACTTCCTCAGAAAAATGAGAAAGGGTCTTTCTTTATCTGGTCTACACTAATTGAAATTATCTTGACATATCTTCAAATTTCTTTCTGTTCACCTCCATAACTCCTCCTGCAGGCCGCTCTCCAACTTTTCTCCATATCTATATGGCTATCTATTACAAACCCGTCACTTGGGCAGAATCTTTTTAATGGGTTATATTGTCAAGATTTGACATTCTAATGCAGGGTATTCAAACTTTTTTGATCTCTAGGAATTGTTCATTGGAGATGGGGAGCCTGTCAGATATTTCACCTACACAGACTGCTGTGCATAGATGAACCCTCTGTTCTCAGTCACCTCGCACACTTCTTTAGAAGCAGTCCAAATATTCCCCACATGCATCCACAGATTACAGCTTGAACAGCTTTAACACGTTGAACTCTGGATCCATAACTGTCAGGAGCAGATGACTTATGCCTGTAGGAAAATATCCGAGTTTGACATCTCACTAAAAGTAAACTTGAAACCTAGGAGACAGCGCCAATCTTCTTCAAAGGCACAGGAGGCCGATTGTCGTATAAGCCTTAATAGGGCCTGATTCCCAGTTTGATCTGCTGTTAAGCGAGCACACTTAATGACCACATCAGACAGTGAGGGATAATCACTGAGGGATACAGAGGCAAAAAAACCTGAGGAGTTTTGAAAAGCTTGTATGACATTTGGATCACAGTATCTTTTGTGATACCTCCACCTCAGCCTTTGTAATTGGAGAGAAAATGAGTCTGTAGGACTTAGGCTCCATGAACAAGCATAGTGTTCTTTTCCCTTCTTGCTACTGGTTTGAAAGTTGGCATTTAAAGGGGGGAGAAAAAAATCTGGCATCTTCTGATCGTTCACACTGGAAATAGGAGTCTTACCTGGTTTGACTGCCCCTCTGATCAGTGGTTTGCAGTGAAGTCGTGTAAGTCAGCATGTGGAGAATTGAGCAACTCATGTGGAAAAACATTTTTAGCCAGTGTATACAATTCAGTTTCACTTACACATTTTTTATATCTACTCAGGTTCAATAATAAAGTAGCTATTGGGATTAATATCATCTTTGCCTCTTCATATGCAGCATTAGAGCTTACAAAACATCTGGCCCTGTCCAGGTACGTTGTAACCTATGAGAAACAGCAGGGAAGGAAGAGAGCAATTCGAATTTATGATATTTCTAAGCACATACTTTTTTTTTTTTTTGCTGTAGAACATGAGAGCTATGAGAGCTAATTAAAAAAAAAAGTCCTTTGACAGGCATTATTGGTAGAGGAAGTGTTAACATTTTATCCACGAAAATGTTGCCAAACTGTTACGCAAGCCTTGAAAAGCACATGTTTTTCCTGGTGTTGTGTCAATTTTTTTAATTGTTGGGGTTCAGCTTTCTGCAGGTTTGTAACACCCAAAGCTAAGTATCTAATGGCTTATTCAAAAACAACTATTCATCAATCTCTTCTTAATACCACTGCTGAAACAAAACTTTTAGGCATGAGTAACTCCCCCAGGTACCTGAATATCCTTGGCCCTAAAGCCATGATTCTGCAAAACATGCCGGCATACGCTCAGCTTTAGGCATGTAAAGGAATTCCACCCTTCTTAGACAAAAAAAAAAAAAAAAACACTGAATTGCTGTGCTGTGTTAGACTATAATATTTTATTTGGACCCATCCATCTAGTGTTCATGAATCTACCTGGAAAGTGCAGAAGGGCATGCAAAGTATCATTCCTAAGTCTAATTTTCCAGAGTTGAAACCCAAACCACCCTTAAAAAGGCAAACCTGCAAAGAGCAGGCAATGTCATTAAAAAGGAAATCGGTAAATCCTGTATTCCTCTCCTCACCTCTTCGAACTTGTTCTGGGTGAAAGCTGTTAACTGTGGCTTTTGAGCAGCTATGCATAAATGCAACCTTTTTTCCCCAAAAAAGTTTGAAAATGAGCATAAACAATAACAGTTTCTGATCAACGTGGTCCAATTTTACTAGATTTATGCGCTAAAGACAAGAACTACTAGAATAATGAAATGCATGGGCTTGATTCTCTGTTTGCTCTGTTACCTCCAATGCTTTAGGGAAATGGCAGCAAGACTAGATCAGGCCCTTGCTGGTTTGCCAGCCCACCACACTGACATTGCATACAGATAATAGTCAAAGAAATTTATATTTAGTTCCACAAGAACAGTACATTAGATATTCGTAAGTGTTTTATGAGGCAGGACGGCTCTGATGAGTCCGACAAAAACACCAGTGTGCTTAGTAACCAGAGCTTTGAACAAATATTGCAGTTATGATTTACAGCACAATTGCCAGAGTATTTCCAGTTTCGTCTTTGATGGCTACTTACTCAGGCTGTCATTTTTAGCTCCACAGCTTGTATCTGCCTTGGCCTCTTCCACAAACACTGGATTCACTGGAGTGTGTTACAGACAATACAGCTCTCAAACAATGGGGCATTTGTGTTCATTTTCTTCTATTTTATCTTTGGAATTCTATTTAGGTCACTATCTGTTGCTTCCAGCTATTCTTTCCTGACAAATTGTAGCTCTTTTTAGGCTTAAAAAGATATTATCAAGGAATTCATCTACGTTATTCCTCTGGGTATACAGGTCTAGATGGAATAAGTGCTATGCATAGTATAAGATTACATTGCCATTCCTGAACTGCAGCCCCAAGATTAATTGTGCATTATAGGCCAAAATTTGACGAGCTGCTGGGTGCTGGCCTTTTTGAAAATCTGATACAGCTAACACAATAAAAAACACTATTAGTAAATTTCTGAAATGCTTTAAACATGATCCCTCACCAGCGTGAACTGGAAGGGTGTGACTGTAGGTATGTTGTTCCACAACACACGGTTTTAGCTACAAATCGGGAGAATAATGATTAATGGATCATTTACCTGATCTTGTCTGTCTTCCTGAAAGAAAAAAAAAAAACCAATTATTAGCTGAAAAATAAAATCATTGGATTTTGGCAAGTAACATCAGGCCTAGAGAGATATTTCAGTATCCATGGAATAAAAATAATACTGCAGGTATGGGGACATACAGGAATTTCATTTACATTTAAACTAAAGCACACTGATTGCTCTGCTCATGTAAAAAATGACTGTGCTCTGAATGAAATGAAGATGAGTGCTTAAGCAAACAGTCATAAATTAATTTATAATGAAACATGACAGTCATAATTTAATTTGAAATGTATTTAAGATTGTTGTTACTATTTGTATAGGTCTTTTTTAGCCTGGAGGAAGCTGTGTCACTTGCTGACTGCTCTTGGAGCACCTAAAAAGACTGTACGCCTAACCTATGCCCCTCAGGTTAGGAGGCACAACGCCATCTCTAGCTACCTCCTACTGCGGGGCTGTCTTAATATCCAGATGTGCCAGGACTAGGCAAAGGTTAAATCCCTCCTGAATGGTAGCTAGCTGCACACGTGCCACGTCAGGCCGCTGCCCTGTCCACGTCCAGCTTTCTGCTGACTCCAGTGGAGCCAGAGGCGGCCAAGGTCCAGGCTGGTACCCACAGTGGTACCCTTGCCTGTGCCCGAGGACAGACAGGCGCCCTCCAGCCCAGCCTCCATCAGAAGCAACTGCCACTTCCCTAACGGGAAACAAGCTCTGTGCTGTAGCCTTAATTTTCTTTTTTTTAATACAAGTGTTCGCGTGTGTGTATATAAATATATATATAAAGCTAAACAATTTATTTTTCATCAGCTTTCTTCTAAAGCTTTTAGACAGTTCTGAAAGTATCCTCTCAGTCAATATGCATATATTCCTTTTTTACAGTAGGGAGTGACCATCCAATTTTTGAAAGACAAAAATTCATAGCTTTTGGAGTTTTACTTTTGATATTGTAGAGGCAGCTCTTCTTTGTAACTATTTCTAACCCCCTAATGAATCTTACTTCTGCCTGCACTGACTCTACCAGGGAAACTGTACTGGGTTATAGTATTTCGCTAAGCTTTTCTCTTTTATCAAATTTGCCTAGTGAAGACGGTATAGAGGATTTTAATTTTGCTGCAAGAAATGATTGATCTGTTTCTAATAGTGTCAAGTCACAAAAAGCAGAAATTCAATTTGTTAATTGGAAGATGACACGATAGAGCATTTGGGCAGAGTCAGTGAGGGTGTAACGAGAAAAAAAAATCCTAATATATGTCTCGACATCAGTTAAGAAACGCTGTTCCCACATACTTGTGATTTCTATTTAGAAAGCAATGGTTAAGAAAGACCAAGTTACAGGCCTTGAAGTGTAATATCGATGCTAAAAATAGATATTTTTGAACAGTAAAACATAATCTAAAGTCCCTCTGTTAATCAACTTAATGGAGAGGCTGGTGCGTACATTATCCCTGAATTGTCAAAAATAATTTAAGTGTTTCACACTGATCAGCAAATGAATTCTTAAAATACACCTAGGCGGTACACCTAGGAAGTACTTAAGCAAATAAAAAGACGATCTGTAGACAGGGTAGAGGCAACTTCAGCTTTGTAGTTAGTGGGTGAAAATACTGTCATATCTGTATTTAATCTCCAGAAAGCTATGTAATTTGTCAAAAAGTAGGTTGTGCCTTCCTACAGTTAGAAAGTTAGCAAAGGGTCCTTTCCATACCCCTCATGACAACAGAATTCTTTGCGTTGTATATTTGGATCTATTTTACAGTGCAGAAGAGAAGACGGTTGGTTAGACTTTCCTGTAAAAGGATGAGCTAGTATATTCTTGCCCTGCTCTCGGGGGAAAGACCTGCAGCAGCATGTTAGGTGCACAGCTACAGGGCCTAATGTGTGCTCCTGGGGAAGGTCAACCTGTAATGCACTCAAGGATATGCAGTGGCAGATATTCAGGTTGTAGCATTTTTGTATGATGATCTTGGATAGCCATAATGTGCTTAGCCTATATTTCAGGTCAGGTATTACTGTTTATCTCAATTTCAGATCTGATTAGAAGTTAGTTCTTTTGCATCAGGGAATAAAATCTTCCTAAAAACTACTGTCCAGCTGATGCTCGTTCCCTTCCGATTAGCTCCCCTTCTCAAATGAGTACTATTAACCATATTATCCTTGAAACAAAAAAATGATCTTGGTTCCTTTTTATATAGATTTTTTTTTCTAGAGAAATATCCTGGGGAGGGAAGGGAAAATAAACTGAATGCTATCCTAGCAAAAGCCTTTTCTTTCCAAGTAAGATTTAACGTTCTTGTGTATCAGTCCTTTAAAAGACAGTTTTATAGCTCCTATATTTAATACTGAGAGTAGAAGCCTTTTCTCATAGCCACTTTCTTGGCCAACAGCACATCTGACAAGTTACCTGATAGTTTAGATTTTTCTAGAATACAATGAAGACAAACATACCCCTCGGATATGCAGATCAAACCACGTTCTCAGAATAAATCCAATTTTTTGCAACCACCACTTCTTTGGTTTACATTTATTTATCGTATGGACATGCAAATATTGCATCTTTAAACTGTCTGAACACTGCTAGCAGGGACCTGACAACACAACAAAGAACCTTGCTATTTCATGTTATATTAAGTGCATTATAAAGGTGAAGTTTTTTAAAAAGCTGAAAACATATTTTCTGGGTTAATTTTCAGCCAAATCAGCAAGCTGATCCAACTCGTCTGCTGCGCAAGGACAGGGAGCCACAGCCAGAGACTGTAAGTAACGCTCCTTTTGGCACCAGCATTGTCTTCAATGGACTTAGGGATTTAATTTTATAATGAACTAACTAGCAAGCAGAGTTGTGAGCAAGACAAAAGGACCTTCACTGGTTTTAAAAAAAAAGGCATCTGCAGTATTTCAGGACTGCACTGCAGATGGTTATGCTTAGAACCAGTTCCTCGAGGTTCAAGGATTTGAGTTTAAATAGATCAAAGGAAGCACTTTGCCACCGCTACAGGTAGAAATCTGAGGCATGGAATAACTGGGTGTCCTAGCAGGAGAGAAAATTCACGTAAAGCCAGTGTGGAATTCTTATTCCATCCTCTTTCACCAATTTCTGTATATTTACCAAGTACAGTATTTTCCAAACCAGACCAGAAAATGTAAAAAAAAAAAAAAAGTTTAATGATGATTTACAAATATACAGTATTTACACTTGCAAGAGTTACAAAAAAAGCACATCCCACAGAAACCAAAAGCTTCCTCTAACCTTTTGGTACATCCCAAAGTTATTTATTTACAAAGCTAAATTACAGTCACTTTTCATAATGCCACACATTTATATGAAAACATTTATCAGTTGTGAAATATCTTCCAGCTTACCCACAAGCAGTCTTTACAGTCTGAGCTCTTCTACCATCTATTACATGAAAAATTTTAGTTTATCAGCCTCAATTAAACTGACATCACATTGCATTTTTATTTTAACAGACCTTAGTTTGAAAAAATATGTATAACTCATAAGGCTAAACTGAGTCATAGGTTTCGAGAATTTCACCTACTGTATTTGCTTATATGGGTTAGTAAAATGACATAGGCAGCCTTTTTTTAGTAAGCTTGGCAATACTCATTTGGAAAAAGGTTGTCCAATTTTGTTAGCTATGGTACTTCCAACTCTTTCTGAAGGGAGTTTAAAAAGCGTCCTTTTCCAGATGCTAATTCCGCCTTCCCCATGTATAATTCTTACCTAAAATAATGAACACGGATTATGCAAGCTTTCCACATCCTGTGCATTTACACTATTTTTTCTGATGTTAGATGTTTTCTGGATTATACCCTTTTTCAAACCAAAACTTAAAACTTCCATCTACATGAGAGCAAAATTTGTATTTCTTAGTCTAACTCTTATATTAAGATATTTATGCATGCTTGAGAGTCTTTGTCTAGATTAAAGTATTCCCAATAAGAGAAATACAACCAAAATACATGTAGTCTGATTTTGAAGTCTTCCACTTTTGTGTGTGTGCAAATACTTTCATGCTCTGAGGATGTTTTACCATTATGCATTGAAACTGTGCAGTTATGTAAACTGGATGCAATCTTAAACTTCACGGCATTGAAGATAGTTTGGGACTACACATTTACAACGGATATTTTTTAATAAAGACTAAAAATCACCAAAGTATTAGCTATGGCTCAGGATGAAGATTTTTTACTGTGAATTAGGAAAAGCTTGCAGACAGTAGCTGTGAACACAGTTTAAAGAATGTCTTCCAGCATTGCAGTGGTTCTCTCCCCTATTCCATAGGCAGAATATGCTCTAGTCAATTCAAGCATCTTTTAAGGATGCCTGCATTCTGAATTTTCTTCGTGCAAGAGCTTCCTGTTTTTTCCTTTCGATTTCTTCTTGAGAACATTTTCTGTTTTTTTGTTCTACTACAGACACTGAAAATAAAAAACATGCATTAGGAGCCTTCAAGTTTGTTCAATGTGTATTTTAACTCATCTCTTTTCAATGTCTGAAGATATATGGCAAAAGCACACTGTTTTGACACATGAGGCACCCAAGGTAAAAATGGCTCATCTATCCTGTCCTCAAGGCAGGAAGGGGGATAAGATGCATGACCTTTGTAGTGCTGCTCATTACTACCTCCCAATGAAAGTACTGAGATGCAGACACTTGCTTCAAGGAAATTTTACTTGGCTGCCCTTCAAGTGAACTTTGTGACATCAGGAGTCAACACAGGAGATGGCAATGGGTTAAGAAAATTAAGGCTATCAGAGTGAAAAGGGCTCTACAATTTAGTGAGTTAGCCAGAGAGATGGGCATCGAGATGGTAGAGACACAGGGGTCAGATATAGTACAGGTGTCACACAAATAAAACCAGAAAGGTTGAAAAGAGGTCAAAAGCAGCAATAAAAATCTGCAAAGGAGACAAGAGCATGATAGCTAAGCGTAATATTTTATATGTTGTGTTACAGAACTATAAATTCCAATACAATAAAATCCTGACCTCACTGAAACCAGGAAGGAAGACTCCTATCATTATGAAAACGTCAAGAATTTTACCATTTATACGCCAATTTCCAATAATGTATTTTTAATAAGTAGTCTTTCAAACTAGAGAAGTAAAACAAAGGGTGTGTTTCTTTTAACCAAAAAAAAAAAAAAAAAAGCTTCAGATGATCATTTATTCTCTAGAATGTTCCACAGAATATCTGGTTATCTTCCCCCCATAGTAACATCTACAATTTCCATTTATCTGCTTCTTGCCCAGGTATGAAACAGATAAAACAGTGATTCTTCAAATAATGCTGGGTGATAGTGTGGAAGAGTTAATTTGAGGGAGTTTTTTTTTTTTTTTTTAAATAACAGTTCTTTCAAAAAATGAGGTTGAAATGTGCCTTTAGAATGTATTTAGAATGTAGGTATCAATCAAGATTAACACAGATTAAAACTTCACAAAGCCATGAGATAAGTAACAACAAGAAGTGACTGACACCTGACTGATTCTACATTTCTCTAAGTAACATGGAATATTACGTTTCCATGGTCAAGTGATTGCCTGTAACAACTAACTGAGAGGCTAAATGAAAGGAAATAAGTTAGTTTTTAAACTGACTGCACAGAATATTCCACCGGCAATTTTGTCCACTGAGCAAAACAATATAGGCCAATGTTTCAGAAATGCCTAATGATCTGAGGCCAGTTTGCAGGTGTACAATAATAAAAAGATTGTAAATTTGGCATTCCATTTTTCCTGCTACCTTCTTTCCTTCTCCCACCATTTTTTATGGATCAGGGGTAAGGTAAATAATTTTTAACTTTTTTCAAAATGAGCTGTGAATTAAAACACAGACTTAGGCTACAGCATTTGCTAAGCACCAAGACAGCAACATATTTAGGCAAGTCAGAACATGGCATGCTGAGTGGTGCCATCACAGCATACTTGATCTTAGCAAATCTGAGCATCTATGGAGAGCGTGTAATATTCTGAGAAGCAGAGTGAAAGTCGGAAACAGAAGTCTTTTTAACTACAAGAATTTAAGAGATGTGTCAGGACAGTTTTATTCTGCAGAGAAAAAAATTCCAAGTTCTAGTTGGAAGATTTACTAATGCCTAATCTGAACTGATGAATAGTGAAGTCTATTATTAAATCTCTCCTTTGGCATTATGATTACAGCAAGAAAACAAACAAAAACAGTTTAATAATGTTAGTATAAAGATACATACCTGATGTAGGCAGTGCAAAAGATTCTGAGAGGTGTCTCTTGAAAGGTGGTTTCTTATTTTCAAGCTTGCTGTGCAAAGTCACGTTCAAGTGATTCTTGCTTTCTTCCAAATCCTGCAGAGTAATTCCAATGCCTGAATGACTCTCTGGATTTTCAGACTCTACATGAAGAGCAACCTGAGAACTGTTAGTCTTTCGGAACTTAAACTTTGAAGGCATAAGTGACAGTTTGTTACCAGAACTGTTATTTAGCGTCTTTCCCGCATTATACAAAAGATCTTGGCTGTCTAATGTTTTGCTACTAGAAGTGTTTACTGCATTAACAGGACTTACTTCAGAACCAGTCTTTCCTGCTGGCACAGAATTCGATCTGTACCATTTTCCTGAAATAGTCTTTGTAGTATCTTCAGAAGCAGCTAGATGACAGTTTTTAGACAATGTGTATTTATACTCCATAGGAGTACTCGAGATCACAGTTACTGGACTGGAGACATTTTTGCAGTTCACTGCGTGACCTGTTGTAGTCAGTCCATGTGTAACCTTTGAGGAGTTTCTACAGGAAAGGTTTACTGAAAGTGTATCCTGTTTTGCATTACTGTTTTGAGCAAAGAGGCGATCAGATAGTCCTTGTCTAGATGCCGGGCAGCTGTTATCAGCATTTGACCTGGAATTAATATTGGCTCCTTGTGTAGTTTTAGCTCTTTCATTTCCTTGTTTAACGTCCTGGCTCTGAGTTTGCTTTTCTATATCGTCACATACCCGATACAACAATTCATCATCCTCACAGTTTGCATCCCAAAGACTGTCAGATTCACAAAACATATCTAAAACCTCATCAGAAAACTTTGGTTCATTCCAGTCAAACGATAGAGGGCATTTCTTTGGTATTTCAGCTTGGTTTAAGTAACCTGTATTAGCTTGGCTGACCGCTTTAGTCAGATCATTAGGTTTTGTATTGGTAGAAATATTGGATGATTGACAGGAAATACTGTGTGCATTATTCCCAAGTTTTTCAGTCTGTGGTCTATGAGAATTGGATTTTGAAGGAAAAAGAGGAACAGGGTTACTTTTAGGCTGAATAGTTTCATTTCCATTCTTCACTTGGGATTGCGTTGAAACAGGAATGTAGTGAAAATCATTGTTTTGGGCTCTCTTCCAAGTAGCATTTATTTTGTCTGGCTTAACCTCACATTTGCCATGAAAGGAAAGAGTCTGTGTCTTTGACATTTCTGTCTTGTTATATGGCTTTTGTAAATGTAGAGATTTTGCAACATTTTGTGTGTTTTTACTAGACTGTTTCAAAGGTGAATACTGCAAATTGTTAGACTTGTGTAAGCTCCCCAAACACGTTACTGAATTGCAACTACTTTTTTCCTTTGTTCTACTAGCATCACTGAAACCACGCGCGGGTGGATTTGTAGGAACTGGTGAAGCCTCTTCAGTACTTATCAATTCAGGATTTTGGGTTATTTGCATGACAAAAGAGTCATCTGCCAGAAAATCTGTATCCCAGTCATCAAAATCATCACTAACTACTTCAGTAAGCTTACTGGAGACCACCAATTTTGTCTTCAAAGAAGAAGAATTTTGTTTTGTCAACATGAAGGTACAAGTTTTTGGAAAAGTCTGGTTCGTGCTTCCTAGTAAACACGGAGTATCTTGTTGACATGTCTCAGAAGTAACATGTTGCATGTTTTTAATTGGCTCAGGAAGGTGTTCTTCCTCCAAGGTGCTTTTGTTTTCCTGGAAACTGTTATTTAAAGAAATACCTGACAGTCCTTGGCTCAGCTGTCCACTACATTTCTGGGTAGAGCAATCAAAAAGGGCATGAAGGGCTATTTCAGCCTCCAGGTCTACAGACTTCTGACTACTAGGTTGACAGGGCTCTGCAGCAGGAACCCCAGTGCTCTCTCCCACTGGTTTCAGGGACAGAGTACTATCTGTTTCAGAAACTTCATCAAGGACCGATTTCTGGTTCTTCATCTGTACTTCATCTTTACAATTACTTAAAGTCTCTGAGGCAGTCTGGACGAAGTCCTGACAAAGCTTCTCTTGTTCCTGAACAGCATCCAACTCTACCAGATTTTTATCAAATTCCTTAGCCAATTTCATGAGTTCGTCTTCAGGATTTTTTATTTTAAGATCTCTAGATTAAAAACAAACAAACAAACATATATATATATATCTAAAAGAAAATCAGATCTATTGAGAAACATTTGTCAAGTTCAATTACACTATCCTATCAGCTGTTTATTCTGTAATTTAGCAACTACAGAGAGTATGAATGAATCCTGTTTTCAGTGCACAATCAGCATGCATTCCTTTTGCCAATTCCCAGTGATAGCTACTCTGTTAACAAGAGATAACAACCCAAAAGTTAAAAGCATTCTGTATGCTAATGTACAATTACTCACTATACATAAACATAATGAAATAATACATCTGTTTTCCTGAAAGTCTAGCTGTGATAGGCAAGACAAAATTGGAACTTACCTTGTACAGCTTAACTTTGTTCTAGCTCGCAGTTTTACTACTCCAGGTGTACAGGGAATGGCATCCTCACCAATCCATGTCTCTAAAAGGGATCCTCCACTGCAGGCTGCTTTTTCATCCTAAATGATTAGATTTATAATGCTTAGCAATTTGATTGCAGATAAAGATTGAACTAGACATACACCTTGCATTCGTTTAAGTCACTAAAACAATTAAACTGGAACAAGTGTGCTCAAAGCCACAGATAGGAGCTAAACCAATACAAGCCAAGCAAGATTATTGCAACAGCGTCTACTGATAGTTTTATCAGTTTAATTATATCAATTTAAAGCAGCAACTTCAATTAAAATAATTGAATTCTATTTTGCCACTCTAATCTAATACTATATTTACTTCCCCAATCAGGTTAACACATCATTTGCAATTTTCACTTTGCAAGCTATATTTTAGTTTACTTTAGTAAGTAGCTACTTGAGATACATTGTCTTTCTCCACCTACAGCAGCATTAACAGACTAGAGAATTTCAGAAAATCATATTCTGTTTGCTTCCTGTTAAAAATTTTGATTTCTTCCATTACAACTCTTTCATACAAAGAGCCTCTAAACAAAAAAAAAAATTAAGTAAAAAACTGAATGAGGTCGTTTCAGAGCTTCAAAGTTCAGGCTTGGATCTGAATTTTCAAATCTAAGAGATACAGTACTGTAGTAGTAAAATGAGAAGTGGGCCAGAGCCACATATTGAACATTAAGAAACACTCCAAGTAGTCAGCAAAAAATAATTTGAACTTTATCAGGGTGGCTTGGGGCGAGGGGGGATGTCAAATTTTTTTTTTTTTTAAGGAAGAAAAAGAAGGATGTGAGCAACAGATTGCCCCAAACGAAGTCCAATTTCTAAATAACTCACAATCATGACAGCATTGTAATCATTAAACAGAGAGGAAATGGCATCCCTTATCAATGATTTTGAAATTCTAAAGTATAATTTCTCACAAATATTCTAAATAGTGAAGACAGTTTAAATGGCCCTGTCAATCAAGCAGGCATATTTTGCATGCCAGATACTACAAAACTGTCTTTGTAGAATTGACAGTTCTCTTCTTGCACTTAATAAAAAGCAAACAATAAGCCCACTACTGTAAGGGCATCTTTCACTTTCCAGGCTGTGGACATCAGTTCCCCAGCTGGGAAGACATCAAGAGCATGTACGAGGGTAAAAAAGGCAAACTGATTGGAATTACAGCAACAGTATTACGTCTGTATCATTGTGGAGTCTTTCACCTCAGTGTTGTCCTTGCAGTTCTGCAGTGTGTATTTCAAGATCATTCAGAATGCTTAAAATAACTGTCAAGTAAATACAGTACGTGAAGAAACCATACCTTTTAACAGACCAGTGATTAAGGGTGACTATACCAGAACTGTTTTCCTAAGAACAGGGACAGTAACTTGCATTCTGAAAGTAAAACTTCCTAAAATGGAGATGCCACAAGTCTGCTTTTCTTAATGCATCCTCTTTTTTAATAGCATCTGTGACTCAAGAACAGCCAGTCAAATACTATGGCTGTGATTTTAATTCAGTTCTCTTTTATGAGCACGTTACTACTTTTCTGCACACTTGCTTCTTTCCATGCTAGACTACTGTAGCTAAAATTACATCTTCACCAACACTGAGTAGCGTAACAAAATTTTGCTCGATTATTGCCTATAGAGAGCAGTGTTTTAGAAAGTCATAGTTACCTGAGGAGCAATACGATTAACAATTTCTGAAATTTCTACTGCGCATCTACTGGCAGTCTGTTTCTTTTTTTCATTGCCTAAAAAACAAAACCTTTTTTAAAAATGGCAAAACATTACTACAAAACTCCCTGTGTCTCAAATAATTCAGTTACACCTGGTAAAATCAGAAGTTGATTGAGCGCTATATTGAAGAATTTATGGGATCACAATAAAAAAAAACCACAATCAAACAATCTGATCACCTCTGAACACCCCAACTCCACCATTGCCATGGTGATAACAGGAAGGGGGCTTTTTTTGGATAATTCAGATTTGAAAACTTTTAGTATACTGCAACATATACGTCAAATGGGCAACCTGAAGTATGAATTTTGTTGGTATTACCTAGTCTGCATGCAATTGGTGAATTAGGATCCCAAAAGATTTCTTGCTCTTTATCAGCATCATTAACAGGAGAGCTGAAAGTAGGTATCCGTGATTTCCTATTCAGTGATCTCTTTGGCGTCTTATGTGAACATGACTCTGTGCAAACAGAAAGATGATGCTTATTAAACATTAACACATAAAAGATTGAAATAACTCAGAACATACAACAGGGTAAGACACAAAAAACATGGTGTGTAAGCCTTAAGAATGAAAAGTTCACACTGAGGGTCTGAGTTCACACTCATGAGGGTTCCTTTAATTAAAACACCAGTGGTTTTCACAACTATTAACCCAGAATGCAACTCTACCTTTGCCGGCTGCGCTCCACCAGAGAGGTAGCGGAGCGCTACAGGATGCCGACAGATGCTCGCTTAGCCTCTAAAGGCCAGGACGAGAACCGTCTATCCTCTTAGGCCCAGGAATGGCGACTTCAGCTTACTTCAAGGGAAAGACCCAGCACAGCTGTGCAAGAGGACACTTTGCAGCCCACCTTGCATAGGTCTGTCACCTAGACTCAGATTTGGGTCACAACTTCCATGGCACCTCCAAACTGTCCTGGGTCGCATCCTGCCTTCGTACCAGCATGTATCTCCCCCCTCCCCCAGCCGCCGCCGCCCCAGGCCTCTTCAGGCATAAAGGTTGAAAACCGGGACAGAGGCAGTCGCAAACAGCTCCGTGCGGTCCCGGAGCGGCAGCGAGCGGCACACGTTAGGTGAC